GAAGATCAGCAGATCATTCCTGTGAGCCTGCAAACACAGAAACATCTTCACACACACACACACTGCAGCAGATGGAGAACACACACACACACACACACACACTGCAGCAGATGGAGAACACACACACACACACACACACACTGCAGCAGATGGAGAACACACACACACATTGCAGCAGATGGAGAACACACACACACACTGCAGCAGATGGAGAACACACACACACACACTGCAGCAGATGGAGAACACACACACACACACACACTGCAGCAGATGGAGAACACACACACACACACACACTGCAGCAGATGGAGAACACACACACACACGACTGTAGAGCCGGGGTTTTCAGCCTGTTAGGACACACACACCCGGAGTTTGACCAATTTCACTCGTGGCCACGACCAAACTATTACTGTCACCGAGGACTTACACCAAGATCCACACACACACACACACACACACCACTAAATGTGGAGGTTTGTTTTCTCTCCACTCGGTGTGTGTGTGTGTGTTGTTAAACTCCTCCAGCAGGTGGGGTCAGGCAGGTGGACAGGACACTCCTCCATGGCAGCGCTTCAGGTGAACTCCTCCTCATATTATGGTCTGTTCAGGTCACTGCAGGTGTGAGCGGGGTCAGGAGTGTCTTCAGTGACGGATGTGGCAGGTTGTCCTGCTGCTGTGATGCAGAAGAGCGCTTCTCTATCAGACGCTCGCCCGCTTCACCTCCTCCCTCCTCCATTTGAAGGCCGCCGCTCCTCGTCTGATCACAGCAACTCTACAGGCGGCTGATGTTAGCTGTGGAGCTAACGCTAATCAGGCTAACTCTAGTGAACGCATCAGTCCTCCTCATCCACTCCACACACACACACACACACACACACACACACACCGCTGTGTGAACCCTGTGCTGAACTGCAGTGCTCTCCTCATTAGCTCTGCTGTTCATTAGTCAATGAGTGTTTGATTCACACACACACACACACACACACACCGCTTGCTGGTGGGACAGAAGATTATTGGCGCATCCTCCGAACACAAACACTTCCCCGTCTGCTCCCAAACACGCTGTGTGCCACAGTCTGCGGAAACACACACACACACACACACAGATGAAGACCACAGGGATCATCAGAAACACACACACACACACACACACACACTCGTGCTGCAGACACACCTGGGCCGCTCCGTGTGCTCGTGCTTGAAGGGTTTCCACTGCCGCTCACTGATGCAGTAAATCCAGGCGTCACCTAGGAAACACACACACACACACACACACACACACACACACCATAAGCTGTCTCTCAGTGCTTCTCTGCTGGTGTGTGTGTGTGTGTGTGTGTGTGTGTGTGTGTCTCAA